TAAAAAATATCGCTTCAAAATGCTAGAGTCGATGAGCTGATACTACAGTAAAATGTCCAAAGTTCGAGAAGGAGCACGATTGAAGGCTCTGACTAGAAACATTTCTTAACTCTTTAATCGTCAGCTCTTCGACATTAGTCTTTTTCAATGAAATTCGTTGCATCGCTCTAATCGACTCTGGCACTATAAAGGTTAATGGCCTTCATCAGCTCCTGAGCCTCGTCTTGCTCCATGTCTTGCTGAAGACACAAGTCCTAAGCAACTTGGCAGCCTCCAGTTCAGTTTGGGCAGAGACAGGGGAGGAGTGCTGCAGGCTTCATTTCCTCTTCCTCTTCCAGGACCTCCATAGCAATGTCCTCGTCCGTGGTCACTGCCACCGCTGCGCGGGATGTCCTTCACACTGTCCGAGGGAAAACGCTCGTTTTTTCCATGCTAATAATGTTGCTTTACGCAGAGCTGGCTTTCCAAATCGTGCCTAGAACGCTGCCATCGCCTAGTCCATCTCCTATCCGGTGTGCTGTCCTTCATGCACACACACACTCGCCACTAAGCGCTCCTCAATGGTGTAGCTACTGGTGTCCGCCATTGTTACCGCCAAAACTGAATTCTGCTGAGCTGTTGCAGAAGTCGCCTAGCCGGTCGCGCATGCGTCGTTTCGCGCCAGGCTCACGCACCGCTGTGTTCAGCGGGCATATGGGATGTGCACATGGGTATTTTTAGATCTCTATTGATGAAATATATGAAAATTTATGAATAGGTAGATGGGGGTACGGTGACTTTTCGGCCACCCTGTATAGGAGACCTGCCAGTATATCCAGAGAGTTTCTCGTCTGTCTTCAGAATTTGGGGACTATTATGTGAATGGTATGATTTTTGCAAAGTGAAATATTATCTTTTGGATACTGAGGATATTTTGACATTACATAAATGGGCGGCCAAGCGAAACGTTTGTCATTTCCTTTAATTAATTTAAGGAAATGACCAACGTTCCGGGGACGCAAGGTGCCATTCTTCAGGGTATATAAAGGAGAATGAAAAGAAATAGAATGAAAAGAAAATGAAGTCAAATAAAATAGAGTGAAATGCAATAAATTAGGATACGACAGAGTCAAAAGTGAGATAGGAAAGGTAAAATGGAGAAATCAGGAGAGAACATGAAATAAATTGAAAGAAACTGAAGAGACAGTCACAAGACACTAGCGCCTGGTGCAAAGGAGGAGAAATGAATGGAGGGAGAGACTGGAGGGGGGAGAAAAGGTCAACAGACTAGATTTTCAACTTCATAGTAGGATTCAGTCAATCCAGAAGTGTTCGCGTGTCTTGTGGTAAAGAGTGTCGACGAGTTTTGCACACTCTATTTGTAGGGTGGTGAAATCATCGGGGTGTTGATCTTTGGTATTGAAATGTAAACCGATGGGTACGTTGCACTTGAGTTTGACGTAGCGATTGTGTTCCTTGCCGCGATCTTTGAAAAGTCTGCCCGTTTTATCCACCGGTCACCGCATTTTTAAATGCAATTAATTAAATAAAAGACATTGAAGCTGGAGCACGTCTGCGTGGAGAAAATTTTAAGAGAAGCATGAGTGAGTGAAGTATTGAAAAATTGAAGCTCGAGGGGTGTAGGTATGAATGGATTACTTAGAAAAGGTACAGAAATTGAACCCTAAAAAGCGCTGGGCATCGGAAATATTTTTCAAGGAAGAGGGAATGAGCATGGGTGGATTGCATGAAACTAATGAAATTATTACCCTAAAGCTGCATTAGCTAGAGGAGCTTTAAAATGAGGCATTGCACAAAGCAATTTGAAGTTACATTAGCTAACTAACATTAGCGCTTCCTAATGTGCATTAGCTAGAGGAGCTTTAAAATGAGGCATTGCACAAAGCAATTTGAAGTTACATTAGCTAACTAACATTAGCGCTTCCTAATGTGCATTAGCGACTCAGGTGACGTATATCAGGGACCTGCAAGAATGTCGTCCTCTTCAGCAACGCTCGAAAATGTATTTGTTTATCATCAATACCCGAAAAATTACGAGGGTGCATCAAAAAGTAATAGCACATCTGCGATCGTAACCTAGGATATATAAGTAGCAACGCACACAGTACTGCTTGTTAGAATATCAGAGCCTTGAAATTGGTGGTCTTTGACTTCGCTGTCGTCTCGTGTGCCTCCTACAGTTACAAAAAATGGCGACTATGGGTCTTGATTACGCCAAGGAAGAGTCGCTTTTGTGATCCGTTTTTTGATCGAAGATGGCGTGAATGGCAATTCAATTTCTCGCTGACTCGGGACAATTTACGAAAACTATGGAAAGGAGCAATGTTTACGAGTTGGTGCGAAAGTTCCAAAATGGAACGGCGAATGTTGCAGACGTGGCGCGTTCGGACCAGCAAAACTAGTCGAATGATGCGACACGCAGTGGAGGTGTCGATATCGAGTGTATCGGAAATCGCGATCTGAAAGGACTCGCGCCCATAGAACCGAAGAGCGCAGCAGATCTGCAGCGGTGGCTATCGCGTAGTTCCTGTTCGTTCTGCGCTCTACAGTGTGTTTAGAAAGTCACACCCTATTTTAAAATTGTGATAATATTTGTCATTTTTTGACTGGAAGGACGGTCCTTCGTCATGGTCTCGAGGTGGAGAATGCCTTGGATGCAGCTTCCTGTTTTCTCCGCCTCCACCCCTCATACTGCGCAGCAACTTGGGCACGGTGTAAAAGATTCAGGGTGACATGCACCACATTCCTTTAACTTTAAACTGATTCGTATCCATAATGGGCGTCTATGGGAATAAGTTTTCTCTGTTAAACTGATTCCCATTAGGGACCATCGTGAGATCAGATTATTTTAGCTTAAAAGAATCCGGTAAATGTCGCCCTTAATATTGGCACCAAAACAAATAAATCAATCAAATCATAAAATCCGACCAAATTCTCTTTCTTTCCGCACAAAAAGCATTGTTCTAGTCCAAAAATGACAAACGTTATTATTCAATACCTTGTACAATAAAAAAAAAGAAATGACTTTCCAAAAACCCTGTAAATCGAGTTTTTTTTTATTGTCTACCATAAGGAGGATGTCCTGAGGTGTGAACCGGTACCTCCGCAATACCTCTTCAGGAAAGTACTGCTCCAAGTCGATCATGGAACACACGATCCTGGGCATCAAGTGCTTCAGCTGAGTTTCAGCGACCATCCACTGAATTAGCTACTTATTCATTCTGCTTTCTTTACAGCAGCGGAAACATTCAGGAAAAAACATAAATAAATATTAAAAGCGTCGTCCGTGCACATCCATGAAGCAGTAAGGAAGGGTGTCGAACCAGCGGGATGTTCCTCTTCAGTGCTAATGAAGGTTTAAAGTAGGGTCATCGCAGCATTAATCTGATACGGAATTTAATGCTACGTTGGGCTTATTTCGTGCAATCCACATTAAAAATCGCCGCTAAAGTAGCTTTAACTCCACCCCGAATAGAGGTTAAAAGCTGGCATGATAGTCAGTTTCATGCAATCCACCCCATGTCTTTAAGGTTCATATGTCTCTTAAAGGCTATTTGGGCGGATTAGGGAACAAGGGCCGTATTCTATTAAAAATCTTAAACTTGATACAAATTGCTCAACCTCGTCCATGCATTCGAATGAGGCAAATGCGAGCTGAGCACCTTGCAAAGAAAAAAATCGCACTGAAGAAAATATTAAAATTCGGTGCTTGCTTCTTAAAATCTTTGAAAAATTGGATTTCACGAAATTTTCCATGACTGAGGGTATGAATAAGTGAAGTTTTAGGGTTAAACGCAACGAAAAGACAGAGCGTCTAGTTCTGGGGTATGGGGTTCTGAGGCCTGAAGATTTTCGGACGGGAGAATTCTACACTCTTAGAAAAAGGGTGTAAAATAGCTAACTCCAGTTTCACCTCCCTTTCACTCTGGGAAAGGAACGAATTTACTCCATCACCAAGGAGTAAAATCGCTCTCCTCCTCCGTGAGCAAAAACACTCCCCTCAGAAAGTGATAGGGATGTCATGCAATAACGAAACTTTTCACATATACTGTGCGTCGCTTTCGCACAGGCGTTGACCTACCTCTGATTTGTACTGATTACAGCACACGTCAGAGGGTGGACCATCTCTAATAGGTTCCATAGAGTGCCCGGGATATCAGTCCCTCATAACCTCATTTAATTGAGGCGTGATTGAGTGAAGTTCACAGTCTTTTCCTATATATTCTAGATCTTCTATGCGGATAATATCATACGTGTTCTAAAAGGGTTCTCAATGGGAATATGAGCTTGTTTGTGGCCTGGACTCCACGAATATGTCTTTAACATGTGGATAACAAATGATGAAGTGTCCGTGTTTATCGATTCCTATAATGAGACTAGGCGAGACATATGGCAAGGTACTAAACAATCCTGCAAGGGAGGATTCCAGGGAAAGAGGGAAGGGAACTTTTGTGTACTGTCCGAAAAGCGAGACCCTTACCTCCATCTAGTGACCTGGCGAAGAACTTCAAGGTATTCGCTTCAATACGAGCGATGAGGGAGCATTTGGTGAGTAATAAGAGAGTGAATTCGAAAAGCTCACGGTGTGCTCACTTTTTATTCCCCAAAAGCTCGGAATTTTCTAAGAGTGCACTTTTGCGTACTGAGAGAAAAGCGAGACCTACCGGTACGTCTCCATCTCATGGCAAGAAGGACAACTTTACAATTCCCTAAAACTTCTAAGTTCATATTTGTCTCGGGATGTCGTCGCTACATTGTCGATGTCAAGAGTCGCAACAGTCTCTCAATGTTGATAGCTAATGTTGCAATGACGTTCGTAGAAGTGTCGTTGCAACATTCCAAGTGGAAACATTGAAGCTATGTTGCTACATCACTACATCAACTACATCTATGCTGCATCAACTTGCAACATAGAGCAACATAGGCAACATTTCGGAAACGTTTAATTAACATACTGTGTTACTTGGGGGGAGGAGGAAACAAAAATTGCTTAATTGAAAAGGGTTTCTATTTCCGAAGGTTGGAGCTTTGCCGTTAGCAGACAATGATCCACGAGACAAATACATCTACGAGGTCATTGTGTCTACCGGTGACAAGACATGTGCGGCCACCGATTCCGTCGTTTCTGTAAGTTTGCGTGAGAATGAATTTGCATGCGGGACTCAGGCACTATCGGTTTGATGATGCATGGTATCCTATGAAGGCGTCTGAAAGAAGCAGGGTGTCCGGAATGTCGCTAGGTTAATCTCTTCGAGCCGAAAAAGAACACATTCAAATTCCATGAAATTTTCACACAGGACTACGAAATCGGATATGCCAGATTCAAGGCCAGTAGACATAGAATTTTCCTAGTATTCTTGTGCATGCAAAAGAGAATAAACTTGAATTGCATTAACATACATGAAGCCATTCACTTGCAATATTTTTTAGATATCTACAGGTATAATCCATCAGAATTACAAATCCTTTCCGATATTGTTGTCGTGAACTTAAGAACTAAGGCTTTCCGTTGGACTATAATTGATAAAGGACAAGGAAATAAGGTCTCATTTTATTCGTGCATCTCTTCATAGTGTTAGAATGTATACCAACATGGAGTTCAAACAGGGATTAACTGCATTCGAGTCTATTTTACGCCGCCCCTTTCGCAGGAGAGATTTCAGGTTTTTCCTCAAAGAATCTTGATGCTTGTATGCGCTATAGCAAACTCCCCATCCTTTTCTAGAAATTTGAAAATAATTTCATCCACAATTGCAATGCATAAAATACCAGTATTTATTCCATTAAATACCATGAAAAGCAGGCGGATGGGGCTTAAAGATTGCGTGGATCCAGTGAAATTGAATGAAAATCATATGTCCTTCGACATTCCCCAAGTGCACATTATGAGGCGTCGCGGACATGGCTCACAGTTTTGATGAAGAGGCATGTATCTAATTCACAACAGAAATGAAGCATTGGGCACCCCGAATTGAATTTGGCCTTTAAATCAATTGTCATGAACTTTCGATACTACAGTTCATCTTGGCTGGAGAGCAAGGAGAAAGTAAGATGAGGACATTCGGGAAACCAAAGCGTCCAATATTCCGCAAGGGGGCAGTGGATGCCTTTGTCATGACCACTTCCCGGTACGAACATCATTTTCTTCATAGAGACGATTATCGATTTTTTAAAGGGTCCGTATCTACTGCACTATCTTGAAACTCTGTCTTCCTCGTAGATCTCTGGGTCCTCTGAATTACATGCGAATTTGGCACGACAATTCTGGAATTGGAACTCGTCAATCTTGGTTCCTGAATTTTGTCATAGTGAAGGATATCCAAACAGGAGAGAAGTACGAGTTTATTGCCAACAGATGGTTTGCAGTTGAGGAAGATGATGGCCAAGTGAGTCATGGGAAGTTATTCATAATCTCACAATGTACTTCATAAGTTAGCTGTTCAGTTGGCAAAATAGTTATAAAGGAATACAGACTAGCATAATTCTTTCTCAAAAGATTTTCTTCAAAAGTTCCTTTCAGCATATAGATAATGCGTATAAATAAAGATTTCATCAAGGAACCGAAATTTAAAAAAAATGTTATGGAAGAGGACGGTACATAAAACTTTATTCTTCCAATGGCAGTGGAAGGAAAAACCAAAACCAAAGGAAGTCATCCTCTCCAGAGATAAAAATTATGTCTTCTTCAATTTCAATAGTTTTGACACGTTTTAGCAACGGTTCGAAATACATCACCCAACCTTTCCTGGAATTCTTTCCGTTATTCTGTGCTTTCTGCTCTCTTTGTTTGCTCTCTTCCAGGAAAATAGCTTGGAGTTATGATTGCAACTTGTACGCAATTCTGAAGTCCCACAATGTCTTGATATAATAGCTAAAGTCTTTTCCATGAATCCCGACCACTGTTTTCCCGAAATTTTTATTTATGTGCTCATGGGAAATAGTGGAAGCTCTAAAACAGGGGTGTCAAACTGGCGGCCCGCAGACCGGATCCAGCCCGCCAGTCCATTTTGTCCGGCCCGCGAGGTCCTCTTCCACAGTTGGTTACGGAAACGAACTGCAAATTTCAGACTGTTCGTTTGAAAGATAAGGTGTTAAATTTTTGTTGTGGCTCCTAATCACCCCTAATTAGGTTTGCCACCCCTGCTCTAAAACGAACAACTTTGTTCCTGCCTCGATGGACCGATGGCAAGTAGAAGAGAGAACTTTCATGGAATCCTCTATGTTTGTGTGTAGGACGGTTCTCCATACGTTAGTCATTACAAATGTATTCTCTTGGAACATATATATTCACGGACATAATCGTTTCTATTTAATTATGCATTTTCTATTCCGATGAAAGTAAGTCCAAATGTATATATGGATGACTAAAGGACGAAAAACCGATTTCAATGTGCGACAAGGAACCCTCTCTAATAACGAGGCCATTTGCACGTTCTACATAGATTCTACTCTCTGCAAGAAGATGTCTAGCTTTACGCAAAATTTTCACCAACCAATCGCCATTTTCAAAGTGAAATTCCAGGCGAAGCATCACAGTTCCGTGTCGCCTTTGAAGTGTACGAGAAGGGCATGTGCTAATTAGACTAATGTCTGCATAGGAGAAGACCCTTCAGCACGAGTTCTGCTCCTTGGACGTATGCTAATATTGCTTCCCTATTTCAGGTGGATCGGCTTTTGCCGGTCGCTGGACTGGAGCAGAAGAAAGACCCAAATTTCCTGTTCAACACGCATTCTCAACGGAACCTGTACGACGAGCATCTGTGGTTCTCAGTTTTCATGAGGCCTCCACGAAGCCGTTTCACTCGGGTCCAACGTGTTTCCTGCTGCATGGCTTTCCTCTATCTGTCTATGTTAACCAATGCCATGTGGTATGGCACCGTGCCACAGCATCCAACTAGTAACGCACTTCGCTTTGGACCTTTCATCTTGTCTACGGCGCAGGTTAGAACTGCCTTCAGTCACAAACATGGACAGAGGTAAATGAGATTTTAGAGTATTCCATGTCAAATCGACCAGCGAATGAGCTCGATCATCTCGGATTTGGACGAAAGTCGGTGTACACGTAGAGGAATCGATTTAAAAAACCCTTTTCAGCCATTTTTTTTCATCTCACACAGATCTCCAGATATATGTATTTCAATGTGGCCTACTTTTCACTCCCAGCGCCCATATGGACTGGAAGTGTGAAACTGGTTCAGCAACAACTTCTCTATTTAAGATATAAGCTTCATTCTGGGGGCATTTTAATTTTTAGATTGCCATCTTAAAATTGATTCTAGGTCCTATTTTTCTAAGAAACAAGAAGTTCCACTTGTTTAAACAGTTTGATCAAGTTCAGTGGTAGATATCGACACTTGCCACCTCGGGAATTTGTTGTTCTTATATTTCATTTGAAAGTGCATGGTTAGCCATTTCTGATGATACATAAGTCGATATTGGCACTCAATGGCTTGACGAGATATGAATTTTTGCGTGCACTAGTAGTGTCAAAATTCCACTTGTTCGAACACTTTTACCGACTTCAGTAACCGACAGCTGCACGTTCCACTCCATGAATCCCGACTCATGATAATCATTAAAAAGTGCATGCTATACCCTTTTCAACGATACCAAATTCAAGGTTGGCACTCTGTGGCTTCATGAGGTATGACTGTTTGTAGCGGTGCACAGTGATGCAGATCGAATTTTTTCCGTCAAAATTAATTTTCAAGGTTGTCTGGTGGGAAGAATTGGGAATGTAATGGAAACGATGAAATAACGAAGAAAATGTGCTCCTGGAACTAATTATTGGAGTTCTTTAAATGTTGGCACTGAAATTGACATTGACATTTTCAAAAAACCTGGCGCTTTGCAGACACATTCACACAAAAGAAATTGATTAAACTACCAAAAAATATTCTCATATGGAATTGAACCACGAAATGCATTGGAGTGCGAAAAAATTGCTGTTAACATAGGAACTTTCCAGATCATATCTCCCGAGGGTGATGATTCCAGAACTTTTCTAATACTGTTATTTTATCTCCAGTATTTGTCTACGAGATGGATACATCTTCTACGAGATGGATACATTAGGGCTCTTTGGCACCATGAGCCCCTGCTCCATCTCGAACAGACTGATACTGTCTTCGTGAAAAGCCACAAAGAATCATAAAGTCCAGAGCCACATTGGGGGAGTAAAGTTGGACTGTTCTAGTCGATGCTAAGACAAGTCTCATTTTAGTCACTCGAGTTGGGATACTTTGGGTAGATAATGTATTCGTGATCTGTCAATTTTTTCTTCCTGAGAGAACGAGTAGCTGCAAGAACTACGGCTTCCTGATTACAACTGTCCTTGATTATCTTAACAAGCCGAGTCTTGGAGAACTCACTGGAGGTAGAAATTTATTTCAGAGGTCTTCATCTGTGTTCTTGTAGAGGAATGGGAAGACCTTGTGACCTATAAGCACATCTCATACTCAAAAGATCAGTCACAGCTTCTGGGAGATTGACTATTGTTTGCAGTCAAGCTCCATTAGAATAATAATTTTAAAAATCTGGACGAGGTCCTTTCAGTCCTTTCCCAGCGTAAGCCCATCTGAATCTTGAAGTTTCTCATGGTGGCTAAAAGGTCATTTCTTCGGCCATCTGGGAAATCCCGTTGCAACCCATACTTTCCTAAAACGCAGTCCACCATTGCCTCTAGCTTCAGTGGATCATTAATGGGGAAAGGGTAATTATGCATCAGCTGGAAAAACTCTTTATTGGGAATTTCCATTGAGAAAAAAAAATCTGATACTATTTTCTGCGGTGGAAGAGTCATTAACCCTTTTGCTGAGGAGTTTTTAGCGACCGGCCACCACGGCTGTCCTGGTTTTTTTCCTCGCGTACTACGAGTTTTCGTCAATCGCAGATTTTTAACCCTCTTGTTGCGACTCTTGTTGCGACTGACAGCAATATCCTCTTATATTTATCGATTCAAATGATTTAACTCATTCGCTGCCCAAATAAAAAATGGTGACATTCTTTGGCAGCATAATGATAATGCACTCCAAACCAAACGAAATATGCAATATTTTGTGAAACCTACTTATATATTTCGAAATAATTAATCCAATATTTGTCCATGTGTTCTCACATCAAGTCACGCATTTGCAGGCGGTTTTATAGCTCTTAATTGTGTGGAACCTCTCAAAACAAGGTACGACGCAGAGTGGAGGTTCTCCAGGACATGTCGAGCAGTTGAATGTAGAAGCAAGGCTGAAATAGATGGTGCTTTTTTATTGCCTATTTATTTATTGCCTATTATCATATAATAAACTATGGTGTGAAGTTTGAGGTAATAGTTCCATAAATCACCCAAATGATGTCGCGGCGCTACGGTATTTTTTAGAACTTGGTATGTGAGTAATATCAACCACCCCAGCCAAAGGAACATGGGAATAGAATTTGGTCGACTTCCACGGTAGGGAGAACTAAACACTGTGTGAAAAAGTCGAACACCGCAGCGAAAGGGTTAAGGAATCACTCCGAGTACGGTGGCAGGTAAAGGCAGAAGGTTTTTAACGAAATAAATATCTGATTTGTTGTGCTTTCCAAATTTACAAACCATTCGACAAAACTATTTCAACAATTTAGGGCATCATACTGAAAGTTTGACAAACCAGAGAATGCATAAATTTCCTTGTACATTAATGTCACACGCAGATAAATTAGGCGGGAAATTTCCCTTTCATTTCAATATCTGAACGGGAAGAGACCGTCCTAACTAATTTCTGGATAAAAATTCTGGAGTGTCGTTATAGAAGCACTAGATGACATTATGGATGACCAAACGTTGATCCATTTTTTTGTGCTAAAAATTCTAAATTCTCTCAAATGAAAACCCTTAAAACTCTTTAGGAAACCAAATACGTGGAAGACCATTACGATTTTAACTGGGGAGTGCCAGCCCGGGTACAGATCTGGTATTCCACTGGCCCCTGTCCCACTAGATATCTATTGTAAATACAGGGTGGGCCAAAAAAAAAACCATCTTTTTTAGTAAGCTGTCAATCTGATTGTATGCGGCCAATTTCGATTAAATTTGGTATACACGTAGGGTGACTTAATTAGGGTTCGTGTGCCACTTTCAAATAATAATTCCAAAAACTATGAGATTTACTTTTCACCGCCAAAAAAGTAAGTGTTCATTTTTTCTTTCAGCTTAAAAATCCTCACAACTGACAAAAACAAACAAGCAAACAAACAGAACAAAAACTGATGCACAAATGCCTAACATGAAAGCACATAATTTGGTTTAGGGACGTACATTTCAACTGAAAAGGCGCTCGATGTGCCCTCCATTATGTTGAACGCAAGCCCATAGTTAATAAACCTTTGAGGCAGCGCTTCCCAATCTTCCTTTGTAGCGTCATGCAGAGATGGAAGGTCTATAAATTGGACCTTCCTTTCATCCAGGTCTCAAGGTTGTATTAATCTTTTCGACAGCACATTTGTTTATGGTCATCAGAAAATAATTACAACTCCTATCATTTTAAAGACAGATGGCTGAAATTTGGTATATAAACTGCAATTGTGTCAAATTGTGTCAAATAAGCCTACCAATTTTAATAAAAATCAACAACCTGCAAAGAGATCGACGACTCACCAAAAATGATAGCATTATTTTTTTTTTGGCTCACCCTATATATATAGACGTGAGTGAGTGACTGACTCTAATTCTAACCATGTTCTAGAGAAGCTAGAAATCTGAAACTTGGTAGCAAATACGTGCTGGGATGCAAAGTTCAGAAAAAATCCGACTTCGGAAGTACATGCCCTGGGGGCACCCATTTCGGGGACATATTTTCAATGATATTTATTTGCTTCAGTGAAACGGAGAGACGTGGAAAGCTGAAACTTGGCATGGTCGTGCTCACTGAGATACAAAGTTCAAGGAAAATATGAAGTTTCAGATGCATGCCATGGGGGTATACTTTTGGGGGGTGAGGTTTACAAAAAAAATTTTCTTAGTTGGGCCCCAATAGGGCAGAAATAAAAAAAATTGAACTTGGCACACCTAAAACTGAGATGATGGTGAGTTCAGAAAATGTTCAAGTTTAGTGGTGCAGATCCTCAGGGCACAGCTTTTTGTTGAGTCAGCTTTTCCAAAGATATTTTTACACCAGCTAAATGAGCAAATGGATAAAGCAGAAACTTGGCAAGCACTAAATACTCTTAGTACTTATTCCATTTAAAATGTTTATTTTTAGGCAAGACATCTGTGTAATTTTTTCAAAAGACTAATTTTCCGGAAACTTTTCTCATCCAATGAACTAGAGAGAACTAAAGAAAGTTGAAACTTGAAACAGAAGTACCTGTTCGATTGCTGAGTGCGCATCCTGCTTTTCAAATATGACCCCGCGAGTTAGACACGCAAGAAATAATCGGGACGATTATTTCTGAGAAATATCAGTTCGTTCTCTCTCGGCACACTTTTCGACAGGCACATACTTTTAATACGTTTTTGTCACATTGAAAATAAATTAATGAATGTATCATTAATCTGGACAATGGAGAGCCGAAGGCGCGACCATAGCGAAATCTTGTCCTTCGGGCAACAAACTCGCTAGTATTATATATATTCACCGCATCCAAACCATTCAACCTTGAAATAAATAATGGCTGTCATTGGTTCGGCATAGGCCTATATGAAAAGGCCTGGATAACTAGACATGTTTCTCTCGATGGTCCACGCGTCCTCATCGCGTGGAGACGGGAGAACAGTATTAAGTGTAGGATGCAGCATTTCACGCGTGAGTCTAGCAACCCTGTCTACGCAGACGGAAGCAGCCGCTCCCCTCCATTGTCTACTATGGATACGTCAACCGCCAGGGCTGGAAGGGAAGTGGATGTTTTCGTGGAAGACGGGCACCCCAACCCAGGCGGAAAGCTGCGCGTGTGCATTGGGTCGTGTTGTCCGATCGCTATAGTTACTGTGGATAGACTGAATGAAAAAAAAGAAGGAAAAAAACTGATTAACGGACGGCAATATCTGGCATTCCCTATAGTACCTGTGAGAATGCCAGATAATAATCCATGATGAATACCCAGCACATAAAAAATGAAATTTGGATTGGCACAACATCTTCAAATGTATGCTTTTCGGCGGGATTGTCCACAAAATGTATCACTGTGCGGTGGTACCCAAAATTCCATTTGATGAAATAGACCGATTTTGGCGACCGATATTTGAACCATGCCTCCATGACTTTGAAGTTGTAATATTCATGAAACAAATACAATTAATGCCAGTTCTAACGCCACCAAATTCAAGATTGGTATGACTTAATGACTTAATTAGATATGACTATTTCATACGGTTGTGCCAAAATTCTAATTGATCGAAGAAAAGTGCACCTAGTTCCCTTTCAAGTGACACCAAACTCAATATTGGTGAAATGTTTTTTTTTTCTGAGATATAACCATTTAAAGAGATAAGAGTTCCCAAAGTGCTCCACTAAGGAAATCATGGCAATGCAGCCTCAGGTTTAACAGTCCTACATATGAAATTATTGCCGATTTATTAAATGCACTTTCATCATATTCCTATACTACAAAAATGGCAAAATATTGCACAAATTTTCAATTAAATTATTTTCATTCCATTACCATGTAATTCATAAATTACTTAAAGTTGATTAAGAGTTAATAGATTTTTAATTGCTCAAACACTTAATACTTAAATTTGCATGCAAAGTAAATAATAAATGCTCATAGTTAGAAACAAGCAAAAATGCCATGATTTCATGAACAGAACGACATAACATTGGGCTACATTTCCATAAGTATAATACACTGTCGATTCTGTAACGGTTATATCTCATGAAGCAACAGAGTGCCAACCTTGAATTTGGTATCGTTGAAAAGGGTATAGCATGCACTTTTTTAATGATTATCATGAGTCGGGATTCATGGAGTGGAACGTGCAGCTGTCGGTTACTGAAGTCAGTAAAAGTGTTCGAACAAGTGGAATTTTGACACTACTGGTGCACGCAAAAATTCATATCTCGTCAAGCCATTGAGTGCCAATATCGACTTATGTATCGTCAGAAATGGCTAACCATGCACTTTCAAATGAAATATAAGAACAACAAATTCCCGAGGTGGCAAGTGTCGATATCTACCACTGAACTTGATCAAACTGTTTAAACAAGTGGAACTTCTTGTTTCACCTTAGGAAAATAGGACCTGGAATCAATTTTAAGTTGGCAATCTCAAAATTAATATGCCACCAGAATGAAGCTTATATCTTAAATAGAGGAGAAGTTGGGCTCAGGTCGTAAAGGGGGCGAAGGTTAAGCGATCCCAGGAGGCCGTCATTAAGACCGAAAACAAGTTTCTCGAGTTGAGGGAGGTCAGCTTGGATGAGGGAACGGAGGACGGGGTGGGAACTGGTGTGAGGTCGGCAAGACAAGCTCAGGCCGTGCTGAAAGGGAGAGGGAAAACTCGGGTCCTTGTAATCGTCGGTGACTATAACGTCAGGTGTCTCGAGGGAGCGATGGAAAAAGATTTAGGAGCTCAGGTTTCTTTCAGTTAGTTTCCCGGTGCTAGGATTGAACGCGTTAGGGATAGGATCTGATCGGTGGTGTGCTCCGAGTCAGCGGAGGAAGTGTAGGTCGTCCTTCACGTAGGGACCAACGATACTCCCAAGTCTGCCTCTGAACTCATCATGGGCATGCTGAGGCAGGCTATTAGGGCGGGTCGGGAAGCAAGGTCGGGGGTACGGATGACAGTATGCGAAATCACGAGCAGGCTAGACAAGGGAGGAATCACGTAGTCCAGATCGGAAGGGGTTAACGACAGGTTGAAGGAGTTATGTATCGCGGAGGGGGCAGTGTTTCTGGACACTAAGGAGGCTTTGAGTCGCTGTAGAAGTCCGATGGCTAGGGATGGAGTACATTTTTCGAAAGAGGGAGCTGTAGCAGTCGAATTGGCTATCATGAAGGAAAATGAGCCTTTTTTAGGGTTGTAGATGGGGGG